CTGGTGGGCGAGATGCGCAAGGCGTCAGAGGGTGGTGTGCAGAGTGCGGGACAAGAAGGCCGCCTTACCTACGATGCCTCCGAGGCGAAGAGACGTGATGTACACCGGGCTCTGGGCAAGCAGGGGGAGTCTCCTGCTTGGTTCAATGTTCGCACCGGTCTCCTAGGGCTGCTCATTGCTTGGGTCTACTTGGTTGTTGGCTTCACCATCGAGATCGCGAACGCACACACCGACCATCCCTCCATGCTGAATGCATTCGGCCTGCCCAACAACTTGCGTGACCCGCGCTATCGTCCTCCAAAGCTTGGCTACTCCGAGCCCACCGAGGTGGGGACTGGCGGAGCGCATCATGGTCCAGCCGTGGGCATCAAAGACCACGCTCGCCGCCTCTCTGACGTGTCCGCACTTGACCTCCTTGCTGCCGTGCCGCGGGATGAACTTGTGGCAAAGATTCGGAGCGCGTTGCCTCATCTAGCCGACTTGGCTCAGGGGAAGCGGGCCAGCCGTGCTGGAGCCCCCGCTGCCTCCATGGTGGATGTGTCCATGATGCCAGCCGTGCAGCCGCAACGGGCACCTTTGCAGTGGTCTGCCATGCTGCAGCCGAAGATTTTGTGCGGTCACACCAGCGCTCACAAGATGCTGGCTCTTTCTCACCACGGTCGTGGGTCCATGATCCCGATCTTGAACGGTCGTGCGACTGAGATGAGTGACTTTGCACTCCATGGTGCGCATGGACAAGGGCCGTTACTTGCCGGCCACTGGGATGAACATGGTCTCCTGCTGGTGGCATCTACGGGTGCCCTCTTCAACTGTCCAGACGAGCCTACTCAGGGCATCTGGAAGTGTCACCAGTCCAACCTGGCCCATGTGCCAATCCAGGACGGTGCTCTCCGGGGGACAGTTGCGATTTCCCGACAACCAGGTCTCAAGAGGGATGCTTTCTCCATCCGCGCAGCAGTCGCCTTCTCTGGCGAGTCCGCAGTCACCATTTATGCTCACACCGGGGAGGCCAGCGATTCCTGGCTGCCTTCCGGTGAGGTCCGCACGAGAGCCATTGCGGCCTCTTTGGCCTTTGCGCCATCTGGTGCTGAGCTCCTCCTCGCTTCGGAGGATGGTGCGGTAGCTCGTTTGCACCTGAGCACTGGTGAGAGAGTGCCAGCTGCGGCTCCGTTCCACGAGCACGGCTGCCACGCGGTGTGTGCACATGGTGGAGGCATTGCTCGCTTGGCCAAGAGTGAGCCCGAATCCCCAGCCCTGTTTCTGGGATGAATGGCAGGTTGCTCAGTGTGCTCGGCAGCGTCTGTGCCGCCGATTTCCAAAGCTGACACTGTGCATGTGTACTCTGAACAGAGTCGAGCCTTGCCTATTCCCGGGAGTACCGCCAAGAGATGTGGTGGCATTTCTCCTTTGTCTTTCCAAAGGAAGCGAGCGTAACTTGTAGCATAGCATGCTATTCTCTGTAAACAAGTCTGCTTATGTCACTGTCAATTCTTTTGTGTGTCCATATGTGTCCTCACGTCGTTGTTCCTGCTGTCCGAAGACTCTTTCTTGCTAGTAGAATAACGAGCCCTTCGATTTCAAGCTGAGACCAAACTGCGTGTGACTTAAAATCCGCGCAGAGCTAGTGCTGTGCTCGAGTAGACTGTTTGACGACGCCATGAAGTTGCTTGCTGAAAGTCTTTGTGTGCTGGAGGTGGAAGGCGGCACTTTAAAGCTGTTGGCTTCACCTGTAGTCGGAACCGGTGGCTACTTTCTATTAGCCTGGGTCTTGCTTGTTCAGCCTCGAATAATGCACAGAGCTCTTCTTTGTTTATAGTTCGAACGACTCAGGCCCACCACATCCTGCTATTCTTGGTGACTGCCACTCCGACGTGCTTTAGCCCGGTGTAGCACTGGATAATGCAGCTCAGAAGTGCCAGGGAGGAGCACTCTATCACACTGCCAACAAGCATGCTCAAAGAGAGTCTGCACAGGACTCAGCAGAGTTCGGCTTCCGGGTAAGTTTACCTGCAGCCAGACCTCTCTGAATGAGGTGGAGCTCTACGATGTTAAGGCAGAAGCTTGTGGAGTCTAGATGCCCTGGAGGCATCGTAGCGGAATACGCTGCAGGTGCTTTCCAGCGTCTGGGAAGATGTGCAGACTTGGAGCATCCAGCGATGGAAGGTCGTATCGTAGCCGTTTCTGTCACGCTTGTCTTTTTTCCTACCCTCAGCCTCTAGTTCTCTTGGACCGGCCAGGATCTACAGGCGATCCAAGTGGCCTTGAGCCGTCTCACTCCCAATGATGCGGTGCAGCCTCTTCGCGGCATTCCAGCGCGAAAGCGTGTTCTGAGCCTGTGGGTCGATGCTGTGGTAAAGCCAAGTAAGGACCCTCATGAAAGCTTCCAAGACTGCCAGCTCGCCGCTCTCCCAGATCCGCAGTTCCTTACGCACACGGCTTTGTTGCTTTTAGACAGCGATGAGAAGGATTGCGACACAAGCGGCAGCAGCTGCGAATCAAGCTGCGACGTCAGCCACGTCGAATCTCAACCAGCAGGCATGGGGTTCGCTCGTTTACGAACCAAACCGAAGGTGAAAGCTTCTGTTATATGATTCGACAAAGTCTTCTTGCAAGGCACATCAAGGGTGAGTAGATCCGGCTCAAGGCATGACTCCGTGCCCAGCCAATGTACAAACGACATAGTTGAATTTGCCGCACTCCGTTTTGCGCAACGCGCAGAGGAGTGCCCCAAAAAGTCTTTGCCGCTGAACGACTGTACCTCGTGTTTCCTGTCAGCCAGTGGCATGATGTCACGATTTCTTGACAAGAGATGGCGCAGCTGCTGGCTCCTCTGGATACCATTTTAACTCAACTGCATATACACGAAACCCACGAGCAAGAATTCTTGGATTCTTTCCGTCTCATGGCAGTTCCGCCACCCTCTGCACCACCCTGCCCTCCCGGTGAAGAGTTCGAGCTGCATTTCATCGGTGAGCTGGAGTTGCCTGGCTGCAAGAGCTAGCCCGAACAATTCCTACAGCCTAGCATCGGTGCTGCAGCGAGTCTTGAACTCTGCCAAAGCAAGAGTCGGCGATCTGAGAAAGGTTTGGCTGCGAATTTCCAGGATGCGACCTCAGCTAGCAGTCAACATGCCGTAACATGCCTGATGTCCTGACGGTCCTGACCGGTGCATGAAGGACTCTCCTCGGATGATGGGCTTTTCATCGATTATGCCGCAGAAGCTGGAAGCGATTGGCTGCCCATCGCGAGAAAGGAGGGTTTCATCGGACAAACCCAGACAACCTATGCTGACGCAGAGGGAGTGCGGCTGGGATTGACAGCCTAAAGTTCCTATCCGAGCCCCCTTTCAGGAGTGCCCAGAAGCCTCGGAAGTCTTCTTGTTTGTTCTGCGTCACGATCTCCTGGTGTCTGTAACACTTGACAGAGCTTCCCAAAGTGAACAACTGCGGACTGATTCGGTCACATTAACTCTGCTGAAGACAAGTCGTGATGCGGTAGTAGATGACCTAGCTAAGAAGTTGTTGGCAGGCGTGGTGCTGTGTGAACCCCAGGTATGTCTTCAACCATCCGCTCGATTTCCATTTCATAGCGGATTCGCTGGCTGGTTGGCCAAAGCTGCACGTGCAAGTCTTCAAACTTGACGCAGCCGGTCGAGTGGAGAAGCCTGCTTGCGGCTAGAATCAGCATCGCATCCTACCTCATAAGGAATCTGGGGAAGGGACTATACTTTGATTGAATAGGCCTTGATAGACCCCTATCGGGTTCTCAAAGTCACCCCCCTTCGCCCGGTTACCTCTCGAAGGGTCCTTACCAGAGCGCAGCCAAGGACCGTGGCCTACGGCTCGAGCATGCTGCCGAGCATGCCTGGTCACGCAGAGCTTACTTGTCGCACATGGCGGCCGCTCAAGACCTCCGTTATGGAAGAGGCCTGGATGAAAAGCAGCGACCACAGACGTCGACAAGTAGTCTCCATGCAGGCGAGGGCAGTGAGTGGAGTGCTCGGGAGCGACCCTGGCTCTTTGCCTGCCCCACGTGCGGACATCCTCAGCGACAAAGTCCCAGAAGTCCCTTGCTTGCTTTTGGCAAGATGTCATTTCTCACGGGTTGCCAATCGGACTCTTTTCGTCGCATGTATGCATGGGTATGAGCGAGTAGGATAGAGTCCTGACTTTGACTGAGGTGCGTTCCAAGATGGTGACTAAGACTTCTGGGAGTCTCTGCATTTCGCTGGACACTGCCCGTTTCTCAGCACGGCCCGTTGCAAGCAGGAAGCTGTTTCAAGACTTTGGCAAGCATCTAGAGTTCGATTTGACCCAGATCTTGCGAAATGCCAACAAGCATGGGGTTCTTCTGCAGCATCGTCGTCGGTGATACTGGTGAAGCTGATGAGCCAAAGTTGCTCGCAGCTTGTTGCATGGGCTCACACAGGCCTCTTTCCGAGAGTAGCAGGCTCTTCTATACAGGACACACATTGAGGCCGGCAAGGTAAACTCTGCAAGTAAACAAAGCTTGTCGCCAAGCAAGCCAGCATTCCAATGCACGAAAGTCCGCAGTGTTATCATGGACTGCTCGCTGCAATACCGAAACGGGACGACGTGGAAGATCTTGTTTACGGCCGGCCTCGCGCATCATAGATTCCTGCCGGATGTGCAACGCTGCTCGCGGTAACATGATGGCAAATCTTGGGAAGCGATACGGCATGCTTCATGCTGCTACCGCACAGAGCCGCGGCATCTCAAGGGGGACTGCAGTCGCTTCCTACCGGTCCGTGCTCACCATCGCCGGTGCGCTCTTTTGCGCATGTGTTTCGAAACGTTCTCCGATATGTAGATGTCGGATAGGTCGTCTTATACGTGAATTCAAAGCAAAGCTCCCTCCCGACTTCAAAAGGCACAGAGGTGCCAGCCGCAGGAACATAGATAAGAAGAAGTAGTGGGCCCTCGAGAGCTTTCGCATCATTTTGCATATTCTGAATGCCCTGAGAGGCTGCGGTTGCTGTGATGTTGGCCATCGCCAACACGCAGGCTTTCGGTTGGTACACGGAGAGCTGCTTTCGAGAGCGTGGCCAGGCAAACAGCCTTGCCCAAAGATCAGCTGCAACTGAAAGCGCTTTTCAGTATCACCTAAAGGCGAGGAGGCGGACTGCACATTTTTTTTAACCAAAAGCCAGTGTTGTTGACTTTTCCGATGTTGACGAAGGGACGTGCAGTTTGGGCCGGTACCAGTTGCCGAAAGCAACACCGGGGCCTGCGACTTGGAAAGCGGCGGCTTGATGCCTGGCCAGTGTGCCCAATTCAAAAACTGATAAGGTCATCGTTGTGCATCAGTACATTGGGCTTCCTCCAAACATTGGGCAGGAGGCCGTAGACAACCGGAGCAGATGAATCTCGAAGAATTTTTCGGTGCTTGCTGATCACAGATTGTCCGGCATGACGACTACATCCGCAGCCAAGACTGGACAAAGTTGATTGAATCCCAGCGTTTGTGGCTGATTCTCGCATGAACGCCAAGAATCGGACTGTATCGGACTCCTAGGCACATGCCGCGATCTCGGGAGGAGATTATGCATCAGGTGCCCCAGCGGGTTGTACCACAGTCCACAAGATTACTTTTACCTTGAGAAACCCTCGCCTGGGTTGGAACCGTCACCACCAGAAAAGACCACCAGTACTCATAAAGAAGTAAGCATGTCTGGGTTTTATCTTTGCATATATATTGGTGTTCATGCTCCTGAGGGACAAGAGCAGACGTAGGTACCGGGGGGGGGTACCATATATATATATACACACACACACACGTTGTTTTCGCTGGCGGTGTAGCGTGCTTGGTTGCCGGCAGGCAGACCTCCAGCCAACAGGTGCGGTACTTCAGCCGTGTTTGTGTGGGCAGGCACACATAAGCAGCTGATTTCCATTGTCTGCATGTTGCCCAGCTGAGGCGAGGGCCTGCGGCAACCTCAAGATGCCACATGCAGACACAGCGAATCCTCTTAAGTTTTCTCCCAGGTTCCATGGCGTACATGGAAAACAGCAGGCAACGAGGTCGTACGGTGATTCAGCAGCGCCCTTGGGCCTGTCTGCCGTGCTGGAAGTAGACCCAGTAAGCCGAGCTACTAGCTGCCTCCTCAGGCCGCGGCCAGCTCCTTCAAGATGCCCAGGCCGTAAGTGTGATGCGGCTTGCAAAAGCTTGCCGGCGTTTCTACCGCAGCGAATGGTACCAGGTGGAGGCATCTGAGCGACAGAGCGAGGCTAAGTCGGACCGGCAACATGGTGAGGGCCCTGCAGTCACACGCCCGAGCTGTGAAGATCGCGTTAGATTTCGCCCTTGACCGACCAGGTCGCTCACGTTCTATCGTCTGAGCCTTACGAGTACAGTACGGTCATCGAGAGCACGTCGCATGTGTATTCGTTCGAAACCTTCGTGAGGCACTGCGGTCTAGGTTGTTACTCGTGCCATGTAGGCCCTAGGCCTTCTGCGTAGGCTTGCTTGTCCTTGCTCTGGTCATGTGTACATGTCAGACCGAGGAGTGAAATCATGAACGAGCGGGGCGTTGAAGAGTTCTTCTCCCGGCCAGAGGAGCGCTGCCTCGATGCACGCGGGGTCGAGCCAGGCTCTTGCCTCCCTGTGCCCAGGCCGTTTCGCATGAAGAAAGTCGATCGGTGCGCATCTGCTCCGAGTGTTTCCTGCAGCGCTGGAGTGGCACACGCGGCAGGTCTGAGCTGCTTCGGGCTCGCCTTGTCTCCTCAGCGGTTAAGGACGAGAGTCTCACCATTCAATTAGGTCCCAGCAGCACTCAGGCTGCAAGGCTTTATGGAGAAAGATCATTTACAGAGAGCTTGTTCTGCGCCATCTTGCAAGTGGACAGTCGTGGTAATCGATGTGTGATTAGTTTTTTGATATTCATAGCCTCTTCCCTTCGCAAGAGACTTTAGAGTTCGCAAATGCTCGCAAGGTTGGATGTTTCCGTTCTTGCTCTCCCTGTATGGTTCTACTAGGCCAGCGAATCCCGGAATGGAACTTTTCTGATCGTTTACGTCGCCGTACATGAACCCTTGTGGATCCCGGAAGAAGAAACGCCCGCGGCTCTGTCACCGGATCACACGCCTTGCGATCATTTCTCCAGGATACACAGCATCGGGCCTGTGTTGGTGAAGCCCGGGCCTTGTTGCCGAGTCAGCGAGAACTGAGCCGAAACCCCCACCTCTCCAGAGTCCAAGTGCTCTCTGAGCACGCGAGACAGCTCCGCTTCGACACCTTTCTCTTGCTGGATCCGCAGCCTCTTGCAAGCTTACAGTGCTCCACATGCTGGCACGCAACCCCCGGGCCATGTGCCCTAGACGAACCCATGGAGCTTGCACCTGCACGGCGTCCTCCTTTACTGGCCGTTGGCTGACCTTGGAAATGTGGCGGTGTTTGCGTCGCATTGCTGTTTGGACTGCGGGCCCGGCAGAACGTGATCACGGCGCCTTGGTGGCACCGACATCGCGCACACTGGACCGCGTCCGTGAGCGCCCTCGTGTTTCTCGTGCAGTTGTCGTCCGCAAATCCCCGCCCATTCAAAGACGTTATCTATGGTCGCCGATCCCGCTGACTTATGCACTGTCATGTTTTGGTTCGGTGCTATCCGACGACGTTCTTGCTGTTTACGGCATCGTTGTCATGAGTGTCACGAAGGCATCCTCCAATAAAGCCGAGCAAGCCCGTCCTGCAAGGCTGATGCGATGCACGGAATTGCGCTACCGTCAAACGAAACGAGACGCAGGCAAGTGCGCCGCCTTGTTACTTGTTCGGTGGCCTGCGGTTGTGGCACCGAGTCCGTGTCGCAGAGGCTGGCTCAGCTGAAATTTTGGTGCGATGGTGTTGCAGCGCAATCAGTGCGCGCGGCTTCAGATGCAGCTCCGTCATCAGTTCCAGATGTGCAGTTCCCGGACGATTCGCCGCCTCCTGGTTCGGCATTGCAGTTTATCAACCTCTTGATGCGTAAAATGCCTCGGGTGGCTTGTTCTGTTGGGCATCGCTCAGGATGCTTGTAAACAGAGGATGGATCGTTCTTGCCGACACGGCATGACGTCGCCATCCCCAGCGATTGCCCTTGCCATCCTTGCCCCATCCCCAGCTAGGAGCTCTGCGCCAGTGCTGCTTCCGCGGTTCGCTGAATCAGCCCGACCCGTTTGGCAACCATCGGTCTGCCTTCGGCTCCTCGGGCGTCGCCCTTGTTTGGCGTGTCATCTCTTATCTAACCATCCCGCCCCTGTGCCAGGCCAGCTACTGTCTATCCCGACACCCATCCCAAATTTTTCTAAGTTGCCTGCCTGCGTAAGTATATCTCTCCGCATATTTGTCTACTTTTCGATTTCTGTGTTTTTTTGTGTTCTCCTGATGTATGTATCCACCCACGTGTGTATCTATGTCTATTTCGCGAAGCCAACCAGTCTATCTGGCAGCATGAGTCCAGCATCAACCGTCCTTACAAAGTAACGCAAACAAATAGGTTGAAACCTTCCAACAATGACCGCTGGGTTTGAATTGACACACGCCAGCCACAAAGTGCACGTGGGCTGGCGGTAGGCCTACAGTGTTGCACGGGTGCCGCGGCGAGGAGCCATTGAAGAAACACGTCATCAGGCAAATGCTTAACAGCTCTCAACCCATGGCAAGTGGGGACGGTACAAGGGAGAGCGCGCAAAGTAGCAGCGCCGCACAAAAATGGACCCCCGCAGGTCAGCAGGTCGCACTGCCGTCGCTGCAGAGCCAAGGAGCGCACCTACCGACAGCTCCGACAGTCGGCGCGATGCAAGCTTGTCGTCCTCGCTCTCGAGCTCGGTGGCCGCTGGAGCAGTGACCTTTGTCAAACTTCTCGCGCGCCTTCGCTAGAGGGCCACCCCGGCCTCGTCCCGTGGTCCCAGCATTTCGGCCTTTACCGCCCTTTAGTCGGTTTTGTAATTCGAAATGTAGAACATGGTTGTTTTATGTTGTTTTAAATGTGATTCGCAAACGAACCGCTGTCAATTTTATAAAGAACAATTTCAGCAAAACCTTTTCTTCACAAACACACAAGCCAGAAGCCACGCGAATTTGCCCTGTAGGGTGTTAAACAAATGATTGAAAGGTTTGCTTTGCATTTTTTCATACCGGAAACCGGGAAACAGAACGTGAAACCAATGTGCAAAAATTGGGATCAGGTAGCGGCTGCGCTGCACAACGGAGAACATCTGAGAACACGCCAACAGCCGCACAGCAGCAGCGTTTTTTGGCACAGCTGCATGCGCGCCAGCGCGAATTTTCGGCACTGCTGCATGCACGCCAGTAGCGGCACAGCTGCGTGCGCGAAATTGCAGCACTGCTGCGTGCACGCCAGTGGCGGCAGCGCAGCACGCACGCAGAAACATTCGGCACTGCTTGCACCTGGCAGACTGGCGAAGCTCGGGGTATGTGTGCTCCTTAGCTTTGCGAGCTTGTGCCACTGCTGCACCCGTCGTGCGGCCGCCAGCTCGGCGGGGGCCAGCACACTGCGGCTAGCGTCGGCTTCTCTTTTTCCGGACCCTCGACAATTTTTTCCACAGCCACACGCCATTTCTTTTTTGTAGTTTCTGACTTGCGGTCTACAAAAACATTGGTCTTTTTGTGGCCACGTTCGGTGGCCTAGGAAAGCACAACTACATTTGCATGCAGGCTGCTGGTGCACGCAGCTGTGCCGCTTTTTGCGTACACTGCTGTGCCGCTTTTTGCGCACACTGCTGTGCCGCTTTCTGCATGCAAGCAGCAGTGCTGAACGTTTCTGTGTGCAGCTGCTTTTCCGTCACTGGCATGCACGCAGCACTGCCGCAATTTCGCGCACACTGTTGTGTGTGCGGAGTACGCGCAGGGAATTGATGTTAAGCGAACTCAAGAACGTGGCTCAAGGTCTCAAGCAAGATTTGAGAAG